TCCTCCTCCTCCTCCTCCTCCTCCTCTTCTTCTTCTTCTTCTTCTTCTTCTTCTTCTTCTTCTTCTTCTTCTTCTTCTTCTTCTTCTTCTTCTTCTTCTCCCTTCTTCCTCCTTCCTCCTTCCTCCTTCCACCTCCTCCTCCTCCCCCACTCCTTGTAATAGTAATTCTCAAGACTTTAGCTAATGTAGTTGGAAAAAATACACCCGGAGAGAAGGGAGTAGCAAACGGCATATATTGTGGACTTGCAAACTACAAGGATATGCTTAGAAAGTCACCAGGCCTCAAGGTGAATTGAACACAGATTTTAACTGAATCTGTAATGGATTAGTAGGATTTTCAAACCGAAGTCTCTCTTAGCCATACCTGAAGAAACCTGGGCTCTTACATCCATAAGTTCTATTTCTGAATTATAGTGCTTGGCTCGACTGCAAAACTCTGGAAAAACTTAGTGTTAGTTTACTTGATCTATGAGTAATGCAATATGCGGACAAAACAGAAGCAATTACCATAGGGGTAAAACTGGAGACCATGTTTTCCCCCTTCTGGGAAACTATCATACATTTACCGTTTGGTGAACTTTGATGGATGAAATTACAGGCAGACTTCAACTGGGGCTTTCTTGCACACGTAGAATATGGGATAAATATCTGCTCTAAGTGTAAACCAGCCTGACTTCACCCCAGCTTTAAGAAACGGCCTCAATTGGTTCCAGGTTGGTTTTCTCCTTGAGGAGAAATCAGATTTTCCCCACCAATCATTTTGGAAAACAGAAAGTTGTTATTCTAAAGAAAACTGGATTATATCCAGAGGCAGGGTGGGGTGTGTGTGTGTGTGCGCGCACGCGTGCATGCGTGCGTGTGTAAATTATAGAGAAAGAGGCCTAAAAGGAATCGGGGAGAGAGAGAATGATAGAGAGAATGATAGAGAGGTGATAAAGGGATTATAGCTAGATAACTAGAAGATATCTATATCTATCTGACAGAGAGAGAGAGAGAGAGGGAGGGAGGGAAGGAGAGAGAATGATAGAGAGGTGATAAAGGGATTATAGCTAAATAACTAGAAGATATCTATATCTCTTTGAGAGAGACACAGAGAGAGACACGGAGAGAATGATAGAGAGATGATAAAGGGATTATAGCTATCTATCTAGATATCTACCCGAGAGAGAGACAGAGAGAAACAGAGAGAGACAGAGACAGAGATGATA